TTTTCTAACTCTAAATCTTTGCATATTTTATTATAGTACTAATCTAAGTGATAAAATTCATTTCAAAAACAGTGGCATTCAGATTGGTTACACTTTTTTTTAATAGGGTAGAACTTAATCTGAAATTAGTATGTTTTTTTTCTATATGAACAAATTTAAGTATCTTAATTGCAATATATTTAACTGTGTCTGTATACAGACTTAATTATCTGTAACAGAATGGCTAACATTCATGCATATAATTTAACTGATTTAATCATCACCTACAGAGACATCACTATACCATTTTGCTGATGAGAATAATAGTGATGAGACATAGTCTGCCCAAGGTCAAATGGGAAGCCTAAGCATTTTAATACCTTTCACTCGATAGCTGCATCTTGAGGTATTCATGGTCTTCCAAAATAGTGTTTAAAAGGAGCCAATTCTCAGATCTTTAGACTAGGTCCATTTCCCAAAAAAAAAATCAAATTTGCCCCAAAATAAAATATTTAATTTTAGCTAAAACCTTATTTATGACTCAACTGATTAATAGGTTAATAGATTATTATGGCTTACTCTTTCTTCTCATATGTAGTTCGACTCATAGTTATCACGCATCAGTATTGGTAGCTTGGGAAAAGGAATATTTCATATCCACCTGTGAAATTGTCAACAGTTTTCTATGGTTATGAAAATGGAAAACTTGCTGAATGAATATTATCTTCAGCAACAGCAACTGCACAAGGAAAAGACGATACTTTAGGGACCCAAGGAACGACCCAGCAAGGCCCATTGATTGGAATCTTCCAATGACTAGAGATAGCCAATTAAGCTGATGGCCTAATCCCGGCTCTGTGGACTTTGGGCCATGCCTTTGAACACACGCCAGCCCTGGGATCATTTCTGAGACTGCACCAGCCCACAACCCCAAGTGGTTTAATATTATTGAAGCATTTTCCCGAAAATGGAGGATACCCGGGGCAAAGGACAATTTTAAAATATAAATGATGGTCTCTGACAAGATGTGTGCATCAATCCAAATTAAAAGCCAAGAGCAAATTATGTCAATCTTCACCAGCTCATGTCCTGGTAATTTTTTATTTATCCACACTCAAGGGCACAAGAGCTTGTTCAAATGTTTCTCAATTTGCTATGGATCATAATGCCTGCATATTTTCAAAACTATACTATCAATAAATGAGTAGGAAAATACTATATACTTGTTTCTGGCTGATTCAATTTAATGAGTACACACAAGGTACTAGCAATGGGCTGGATAGATATTTTTATGTATTATTCATGACCCACATTCCATCTCATTATTTTTCAATGTAATTAATTAGGTTCATTAAATACTCCAGTACCAATTATTCAAAGATCTATATCACACAAAAAGACCTACTTTTATAAGAAACCATTGAAGTTAGCATGAAAACAGCACCAATATTTACAAGGAATTTATTTAATAATAATTTTTACAAAAACCAAAGGTTGTATTAGCAGGGAGGGGAAAAAAAGCCATATTTTAATACAAAATCACGAGAAGAAAATACATATCAAAGAAGAGCAACAAAGTGGTCTTTAAAAAACCCAACAGCACAACTGACAGGAAGTTTGCTAATCCTACACCTCTACAAAGTCTGTAACCAGGCTAACTGAAAATAAACACACAACTCCCTGAAGCCAACAGACAAATATATACAGAGCGTGTATAAGAGAAAGCATGTATACAGAGCGTGTATAAGAGAAAGATTCAGCAACAGCACTGGGAGAGGAGGATGAACACATACACATATGTATATCTAGACATGTTTTCCTTAACAGCATGTAACTCGATGTTCCTTCACTTCACTCAGTGAAAAGAGAACTTTGATGTGAAAACTATTTAGTGCAAAAGTTCACATTTCTAAGAAGCTGTTCATTGAAAGCGAATGTGTTTTGTCTGTTTTTAAAAGTAAAAGCTACGAACAGAAGTTGTTACACGGTATTTGTCATCTAGTTGCAATATTTCCCCAACAAGTCACAGGAATGTCAGTGATGAGCAGGTGAGCAGTCCTTCCAAACCGCACAGAGGAGATGGAAAGAGCGCCCTTTATCTAGATTTGTAAAGACCTGTCATCTTCTTCACATAAAGGACGCTACTCTGGGATCTACCACTGCCCATCCCTAGGGGTGTCCTGACACACAGGTCTCTTCTACTGGACTCGACAATTCTCACTGCTCTTGAGGTCAGGTCCGGCCTCTGGGCTGGGGACAAAATGGCCTCGCTTGGCCCTCAGACCCTCTCTGGGGCTGTCAGCCGACCGCCTCTCAGGAAGGTTTCTGACGGAAAGAGATCTTGAGCTGGGTTCCCGGATAGCAGCACCCGAGTTAGCTGGGCTCTGTTGAGCATCCTTGGCCTGCAACAGACATATTTGTTAGCGGTTTACAGCATGTTCACATTTCTACAACATGAAAAATAAACACACATCACTGAATTTTAAGTTAGATTCTTTTTCTCCAGGGGTCGTACCGTTTCAGTATCTCTTCCTCATAGACAGCAGGCCCCACACCTACCCAAAGCTAAGGTGCCACACATGATCTGTGAGAGGTCACATTACAGCTTCCCTTTACCAGCTCTGATGTCCACACCAAGGCAAGGGGAACATTTTCCAACCAGTGGGTAAGCTCTCTGAGAGCAGAGTCAATGTCTTGTTTACCAGACTGACCCCTTGCTGTTAGTTCATTCCGAGTCATGGCAAGCCCTCGTACGCAGAGTATAACATTTCCAAGGCTGTGGCCTTTCACAAACAGATAACAGGGTCTGTCTTCCAAGGCACCCTAAGTGGTTCCTAACCACCAACCTTTCAGCTAGTAGTCCAGTGCTTAACTGTGCTGCCCACAGGCTCTGATAGATTCCTACTGTGTGAAATATGCTTGAATGCCCTGTGAACATTCAATAAATTCTGGAGAGTTAACTCTGTTCTAGAGTTTTCCTGAAATAAAAACGTCAATCATCTCCCATCTGTCCTGCGTGTCTGTGGTCATTCAAAATGAGTATAATCAAATGAGTCCCGTTACCCTCTGGGGCTAAAAGCTTTATTCACAACCATGTAGGGACCTAGGACCTGATCCTCATATAATGGTATCTGCATATTTTGTTTTCATATTAGATTTGGATTGTGACACAACAACGTCTAAAAGGAACAAATCCTCTGACATCCCACCCTTTAAATGCAAGCGGCTTCCCAGAAAATGCGAGCATGCAAGGTAGTGCATGAGAGGGCTGGGCAGCTGGTAGTCAGGAGTGTTTGAGGTTTCCAAAGCAGTGAAAAAGGTTACGGGGTCGTGAACTAGAAAGGGGAACAAGACAAATGGAACCCAGAAGTGCTTCAGCTAACCAGTTAAAGGCAGCAGTAGGACAGTCAATAAAGAGGCTCCTCACAAGAAGGGTCCCATGGGCAGTGCAGGCACCAAGCACTCGATAGGGGGACAAAACACTCACTCCCTGAGCAATGGGTTACCAGTGACCTCCTCCTGCCTTCTGAAGCAAAAGAAAAACGCATGGAAATTACTTTCCCATTTCTAGTCTTTCCATACCACGTTTGTGGTTTTAACAGGCAGTTATATACTTTTCATTACAGAAAACATAATGAATCTGGCCAACAGATCAAATCAGGGAAAGCGTTAACTCTCGGTCAGATTATACGCAAGACACTTTAAAAGGAGCAGCCCTGAAGGAGCAGGACTTCATGGAAAATTACGATCCATGTCGAAATAGTGATACCAAAGATGGGCCTTTCCCTTCAACCTATCTTCACCATAAGAAACAAGATACTGTACAAGGAAAAGATCACTGGAGCCAGTAAGACTCTTTCCTCATTCCAATTCAATGGCCCAAACCCACCCCCTTGTTTTGTCCCTAGACTCAACTTCTCCAATACTAAGTTAAGAAAATTATAGTCAGCAAAGCTAATCGTCAAGTTGTTTAGTCAGGCTACAAGTAGTTATTAGATGCCAGCGAGTTAACCCACAACTTATGGTGACCCCAAGCACAATGGAAAGAAACCAATGCCTTGTCCTACAACATTCCCCCATTTTGGTTGTATATCGACCACTGTAAACAGGTTTTCATGGGCTGATTTTAGAAGTAGACTGCCAGGCCTTTCTTCTTTGTCTTAGACTAGAAACTCTGTTCAGTACCATAGTTGACACACAAGCCTCCAATGACAGGTGCACTGGCTGGGAATCAAATCTCCAACTCTCTTGTGGAAGGGGCAAGACTTCCACCTCTGAACCATTAATGCTACTCTCCATAAAATGATGAGATTAAATTCACCAAGTATTTAAGCATTTAAGGCTGAGAGAGCATCCACACCCAATCATCTTTAAAATGATGTCTGTAACCACAATGGAGAGAGGACAGGTACGTGGCAGATTCAACGAGAGTAAACCTCAATTATAAAAAGCACAAGCCCCCAACTACACCGCTGACAAATGCTGTAATGACAATACTCCTGTCATCCATAAAGGGTTTTACCACGTGGTGCTGGATCCTCTGGTCTTACCAATGCCCAGTCCACACTCAATCACTGACTCTGTTGATCCCCCGTATACCATGTGCACCCCAGAAATTTAACAGGCAGAGAGTCATCTTCACCTAATCTACATTTTGCTGTTTTTCTCTGTTAAGCTTGTCTGCTTGTCATTAAAAGGCCTGCTAAATGACCTAGGAATCATCTCTCTAAAATCTCAGCCAGTCACACCAAGGAGAACTCACAATCCTGAATTTCTAAGCAGTAGTTTTAGGAAATGAGACCATGCTCATTGTTTTTCAAACTGAATGATGAAATATGCTTAACAGATGAGGCAAGCATTTTACAGGACTCAAAAAAACACTGAATTAAATAGAAAATCACTAGGTTGCTTTTAAAGCATTTGAATCTAGAGTCTCCTATAACATCCTCTCAAGAGCAGCCCACCATTCAATGGCAGGGGTGAACAAAACTTTTCAGCAATTCATGCACCTGGGTAAGGCACGTAACTCTACACTACCAGAAGTCATGGTTCCGACAGCACAGACCACAGATTCAACAGCAGTGTGGAAAACAAGCCCCCTAGTGTGCAAAGCGCTTTTTCCTATATAAGTTTAACACCACAAGCAAACAACTTTTGCCATTAATTCCTCATAAAACAAGAAAAAAGTAACTCATAACACGATTTCCTGATAAACCCAGGGACTTCAAAAAGTTCATGGAAAAATGGAATGAAAAGATAATGTCACTGTTCCACAAACTTTTAAGTAATTATTTATTTTTGTCATGATATTAGAACACGATGACTTCAGGCTAACAGCAACAGCTTCATTCATTCAACAAACATTTGTGAATGTCAGACACTGTACTAAAGCAAGAAGACACATAAATCATAAAACAAATAAGTAACCTCACAGAACTCATTTTATAAATAGAAGGGAAATTTAAACAATGACAATAAAATAGGCTGTTTTACGATAATGCAAGAACTAATTGTGTGTGGTGTTCTCAGTCTTAAGAATCAGACAAGTAACTTCTTTGATTCTCACTCTATGAGACAGGGAGAAACAGATGAGTATTGATTGTGGGCTAAGGAAGCAGTGGCTGCAAGACACCCATCTAAGGAAATGGCAGACCTACAGTCCTGGTGGCACTGTGCTTACAACCACTCGGGGGAAACATGTGGCAATCTCCCATAAAGATCTACAGCCTTGGACATGCGATGAACAGCCCTAGCCTGTCCTCTTATTGTGGTTGTTTTTAAATGCTGTCAAGTCAGTTCCAATTCACAGTGACCCTGTATACGGTTTCCAAGGCTTATGGCCATTCTAATGAGTTGGAAAGGACTCAACTGCAATGGGGTTACACCAGAGCCTAAACGTGACTCTTTAACAGAACATCAGAGGCTACTTTATGGTTAAACAGCTTGGTCCACCTCGGTGGTTTCACTCTTCATGGCAATGGTTACATTAGGAGGCTGTTCCTGTGGTTACTGCAAAGTTCAGGACCTATTCCAATATACACTCCAGTATATATTTTTCTTTATACATATAAAGAAAAAATGTATTTCTCCAGAGAGTATTTTTTTGTTGCCAGGATTCAAAAGTTAAATCCAAAGGTAAACAAGTGAGAGAGAGTGAGTATATGTGTGTATAGTGGGAAAGGAAGGAAGGAGAAAGATTTTCCACAAAATGGTAGAATATTGCTAACACAAATAATGGACATATCGATTTTAATGAATGAAAGAAAATCAAAGACATCTTTTCCATCGCCCTAATTAATTAAATTTATATCATAATGTAACTATGAGGAAACTTGACAGGATATATAAATTCTCTAGAGTCTGTGGGGAGCAGATGGTTTATGTACTCGACTTCTAACCAAAAGGCTAGAAGATGAAATTCACTTGGGGAAGCCTTGGAAATACCATGTGACAGTTCTCCTCTGTCCTGTAGTGTGTCACTACGAGTTGGAATCAACTCGACAGCAACAAGTTAAGCAAATGTTACAATGTCAAGAAACATAGAGATGACTAAGACCCTACCCTGGTGTAGTTGTCGGTTAATGCGTTGGACTGCAAGGTTGCTTTGCACCACAAGGTTGGCAGTTCAAGCTCACCAGCCACCCCTTACAGGGGTTGCTATGGGTCAGAACTGACTTGAAGGCACTTAACAACAACAAGATCCTACCGTAAGAATCAAAATGAAGACATTAAGACACAGAGGCCCTTTCTTTAGACATCTACTGACAAACGTACTTTTGTTAAAAAGTAAAGGATTAATACAAACATACAGAACAGGCAATTGGGGTAGCAGATGATATGTGTAAAATGTATGAAGCTAGCAATGACCAGCATCAGCAGTCAAAAGGAAAACTAGCTCTTCACATGTTGCCAACAGTAATGCTTGAAATTGATCTTACATTGCCTTGGAGTCTGGATTTAACAATGCCATTTCCTATCAAGCTATTCCTAAGTGGTAAGCTTAGTCAAGGACAAGGTTGTGTAGCAGGATAACGTAATGTTTATCCTGAGGCTTGCTCTTGACTCTCATCATTGCTGACTTATTTATACACACTGAGGAGAAGGTCAGACTTTAAAGAGCAGGAGTTCCCGAGTCACGGGTTACACTGGCCAACCTTCACTAAGACATCACTGCAATTTTCTGCATTACAAACAGCACATAAACGGTTACAGTATTAGTTTTACCTTTTGTGATTTGCTGCCACCAGCTGTTGGTTTGGAGGCTTCACCAAGATTTTCTTTGTGGGGCCTCAAAGGGGATGGTGCTAATTTCTGTGCAGCAAGGCGTGGGCTGGTCCTGGTGGCCATGGTTGTTCTCCGCAGAATATACGGACTTGTCTTTCCTGTTGGGATATCAGCAAAACCTAAGGGCAAAAGCTTACTGTCAGCATGGCTAAATCTGAACAGAGCAATCCAAATCTACCTGCTTTTGAAATGATAACCATCAGTTATCAAAACGACACTTGGATAATATGTTAAAAATAAATCAAGAAAAAATAACCATGACAGTTGGTTGTTGTCACAATGTTAGACTGCTGGGAAAACTTCTCAAATCTTTGCTCTTGATTTCTATACTCTTTAGCCACAGACCAGTAACAAACAGCTTATAGATTGACCCCGGATTTTAAATGATTACATCAATAAAACAAAAGAGTGGTAAAGCCCCAGCCAGGAAGCTAGGATCAACAGCGGCACCCCACCTCACCTACTATCCTTATGTTGGGCTGAGATATGACTCAAACTACTAGGAAAGCAAACATAGGAGACCTTGATTTGAGGAGATTTCAATATAAAAATATCGAGTTCTAAACTGATTTTTGACAGCTATATTTCTAATCTACCAGTTATTTTTAATAGTGTAATACAAGTAGTTGTTGTTATTCAGCGACCCTGTATAGGGTTTCCGAGGCTTTTAATCTTTTCAGAAGCAGGAAGCTTGCTCTTTCACCCGCTGGCGGGCTCAAACCACAGACCTTGTGGTTTGCATTCTAGTGTTTATCGTATGGAGCCACCACAATTCAACCCATGTATTACTTCACGGCAGTTAAAGGAAGAAAAAACACCCATTTATAATTATATATATTTACAAAGAAGTCCTGGTGTGGCGCTGTAGGATAAGACAGGACTGCAAGGTCTGTTGTTCAAATTCACCAGCAGCTCCTTGGAAACCCTATAAAGGGTTCCTAGGAGTCCTAGCGTTGCGCTGTGGGTTAATGTGCTGGACTGCAAAGTCAGTTTGAACCATCAGGTCAGCAGTTCAAGCTCACTAGCAGCAGCTCCTAGGAAACCCCATACAGGGTTGCTATGGGTCGAAGCCGACTCGACAGTACTTGACGACGACGACAACTCACAAAGGACTCCAAGGCACTTAACAACAACATACTTACAAACACATACACATATTTATAAGTGGACTACCCATTCTAAAACTCAATTACTAATATTATCCAATAATCAGAAAAACAAAATTTACTTCTGCTTTTTTATATGTGAATTAACTTTACATTCTGGCATTTCAAAACAGAACAAATTATTTTATTTTAAACTATGCATACCTTTCTTTACAACTTCCGGAAGCCCCTCTGGCTCAAACATGGTATCTTCTGTGTTCTCTGCACACTGAGCACCATTTCTGGCTGCTTTCCTGCTCTTTTTAGAAAAAGTCTCTGGTGTGGAAGGAGTTGATCCTCCACCATTCTCCTGAATTCCACTGGATCTCTGTCTCTTGCCTAAAGCCTTCTTTTGGCCAGCTGATAACTGTCTTTCATTAAGAGAAGGAGCTGGAGATGATTCTGGAACAATTGAAGCTGGCAAAGGAGAACTTCGGAGATTCCGTTTAGATTGTTGAGAACTCAGACGAGCAACTTGTGTTTCTAACATATCCTTAGCTTTCTCTAAATTCTCATGGCTTATAAGCAGGGAACAGTACTTATCCAAGTATTCATCTGCCTCATTGGTTTTACCTTCAAGAGCTTCCTTGAGTTCTCTGATCTCAGTCATTAATTCATCTACATTAGCATCCACAACAGCACCTAAGAAAAATAAATTAATACACCATACATAAGTAACTTGTACACCATACATAAGTAACTTAATGCTTCTCTAGCGAACACTGACTGAAAAAAGTACATTCACATTTGTATTCTGGTTGCTGTTGGGTTGTTTGTTTGGTGGGGGAAGACACCATATCAACGTACAAGGCACCCTGGTAGTACACACGGTTAAGCACTCAGGCAGTTTCTAACTAAACCTATCAAGTTTCTCTGCAGGGGAAAGATATGGCAACCTGTTTCCATAAAGTTTACAGCCAAGAAAACTCTATGGGCCAGTTCTACTCAGTTGCTCTGAGTCAAAAGTGAATCAATTGCACTTTACAACAACAACAATAACACATCAAAGTACATATTCTGATAGATTAAACAACTCTTACTGGGAAATAAAATTCAACAAAATCCGTAATTTATACTTTAGTCAAACCCACCAAATTGTCTCTAGAGCCACTCAAATAATATCAAACCAATTAATTAATGACGTCTCCTTGTTTTCCCCAGTCCATCTTTTCCGCCAGACGTGAATGAACATTCAAATTCTGTAAACAATAAATCTCTGCTGTAGTACAGGAGGACTCCCACTTACAGAACAGCTCTGAAAACTATTATTTGGAAGCAATGGCTCCCCAGATGAACAAGAGCTTATAAGGAATACTATAAAGGGTCTAAGAGAGCTCTGGTAGCCTAGTGGTTACGAATTGGACTGTGAACCACAAGGTCAGCAGTTCGAAACTACCAGCTGTTCCACGGGAGAAAGATGAGGCATTCTGCTCCTGTAAAGATTTATAGCCTCGGAAACCCTGCAAAGGGTCGTTATGAGTCAGAACCGACTCCACGGCACATAACAACAACAACATCTTGACCAGCTTTTAGCTGTCATGATTGGCACTGAATCTATTAAAAAGACTTCCTGGAACTCCAACCTATTTCAAAACACCTTCCAAACAGGGAAGACTGATAAGCAACCCAGTCAATGTACAGTCCCTGTGGACCCAATGACCCAGATACAAGGATTCTACTCAAAGAGAGTTGTCATTTCATTTCATTTTGCCCACATATCCAAAAATAAACTCTTCTGTCCCTTCCTTTTAGTTTACCCACAACGACATGCCAAGGAAACCAAAACTAGTTGTCTATAAATTATTAATACCAACACACATGCTGATCTAAACCTGATATAAAAATTACTTCACTGAGCATCCATGTGATAAACACTTCTTGGGACTTCCAAAAAGTCAGTTGTTTGTATGTTTATAGAATAAAAGATGTGATGATTCTATTTCAAACTGCAGACTTCAACCTGACTCCCATGACCCCAAGTTGAGTACAAAATTCAGAAACTGGAAGATAAATAGCTGCAAAATAAATCATAGTAACATAACTAAAAACATGCTAATTCATGCAAACCACACGTGTCGTATTTCACTGTTGAAAATGATTTTGTTTGATTGATCTGCATCCCACCCAGTTAACACTCACCTATTTTCTGCTTTTCCTGAGTGACTTCAAGAAGAGAAAGCTCTTTCTGCAACAATTCCTTTTCCCCCTCCAGCTGTTTACAGGACTTGATCAACAACTTTACTTTCCCCTGCATATGTTCATTTTCCTTCTTTAACTGATTTAGAGATTTTAGATTGTCCATCTAGAAAAAAAAAAAAAAAATTCCGTTTATAAACTTCAATTTCTTTTGATGAGCAAAAAGCAAAATAATTGTGAGATATAATTAGGAATCATATATTAAAACTGTATATAAAAGAATTGTTATGTTCAGACAAAATGAGAGGATACATAAAAATCTTCTCAACCTCTGAATACCAATGTGTTTTTGTCATTCCCTTATTAGTTTCAACAAGCATCAATCACAGCTCCAGGAAAAACTGTCCTACGGCTGTGTTTATCAGGGGAATCACACCTGCAAGGCAGGCTCAGGTTACCCAGACATTCTTGATGAGTCTAAACTTCTGTGTGAGAATTAAGTTTCTATTTGGAATCTTTGTCCCATGATTTCAGTACTAAATATTTGTTTTATAGTCGCACCCAGTGAAAGCCACCATGGCAGCTCACAATACAAACGTAAGTTTTATACAAATTCAAATATGAAGTAAACAAAAGGTGGGACAACTGTGCTATCAAATACTTCACAGGAGTACAAATCCACAATTCCAAAATCCAAAGGGAAGTTCTGAAAAGGTGACCTGAAGAGTTAGGAAGGTATTTATAGTCTTAATCTTATCTTGTGAGACTATCCATCCATACTTTTTGCTATAGAAATATGACAGTATTTCAATATGAAATGTTGCCCCAAACCACTAGGATACTATGCAATATATGGCATATAAATTATACTATACAATGTGCTAAAAACCTAACATCTAACTCCACGGTTGTAATGAGCTCTGGTAGCGTAGTGGTTACGAATTGGGCTGCGAACCTTAAGGTCAGTGGTTCGAAACTACCAGCCGCTCCGCGGGAGAAAGATGAGGCTTTCTACTCCCGTAAAGATTTACACCCTCGGAAAACCTGTACAGGGTCACTATGGGTCAGAACCAACTCGACAGCACTTAACAACAACATGAATAAATAAAGATAGACCAAACTACTACAAAAGGAAAAAGATCCTAAGTAGCATATTCGTGATGCAAGTGGATGTTACTATTGGAGCTCATTTTTGCATTCTTCATTTTAAAATAATTTATTAGCAAAGTAGTGGTAAATCTGCACTCTCAGAATTTTCAATTTCCGCTTTCATCAGTAACTGGGTTCGATGTCTAATTCAATTTCAGTAATGATTGTCGATTGGTTCTTGATTTAAAACATTGGGGATCTGAATAAGGAGACTCAACAAACAAGCAATGTATCATTTTGTACACAGCATGTATATGAGTAAACATTATCTACAAGAGAACCATCAGATATTTAAAAAACAGAAAAATAAAGAAATAAACCAGAAACTACTTCTTTATATAATTAATCTCTCATTTTGTTGTAACAGAACATATCACATTGTTACTTTAAATAAATTTTTATTAGTTTGCATTTAATTGGTAAATTTCCTTCAGCTTGATAATATATTAGTTAAAAATATAGCTATCTTTGTACTTGAATCTAATTATATTCAATTAATATCTTAACTTAAAAAAATTTAAAGCACTTTATAAATAAAGAAAGCCCATTACATGAAGGATTGATGTTCCTTGTACACTAATATACATAAACCTCCTACCATGGAGTCGATTCCCAATTAGTGTAATCCTGTAGCACAGTACAGTCCTGGTATGGTGCTGAAGTATAAGCACTCAACCATAAGGTGGGTTTGAACTGCAGAGTCAGCAGTTCAACCTCACCAGCCACTACACGGATACCCTATACAAGGCTGCTATGAGTCGGAAAAGACGTGATGGCACTTAAAAACACCAGCATAGGACAGAGTAAAAAAGGCCATAACCGTTACAGAAGTAGATTTGCTACGTCTTTCACCCATGGACTGTCTAGGGGTTCTGAACCACCTAACTTACAACTAGCAGTCGAGCATGCAGTCGAGCATGCAGTCGAGCATCGAACCATTGTGCTACCAGGGCTCCTCGTACTATACCTACTAGGGTAGTATTCATTTACTATACCTACTAGGGTGGTATTCATCTGATGAAAACTATTAAAACAAATTTAAATAGTCTCTCTGGAAAGACATTAGCACCATCTTCTGACCAACAATCCTAAGACGAATGTCTCCCTTCTTTTTTCCTGAAGAAAAAAATCTATATGATCCTTACATGAAATGAAAATTGAATATGCTTGGAATCAATTAGTCAATCCCTGGACCAATGGAGTGGGTGAACATTAGTCACTATGATTCTGAGACCAGAAAAGCTAGATAATAACCTACTACTACCAACTGCTCTGAATGGTTGGTATTAGGTCTCAAATAGAGGGGCAGAAAATGTCAAACAAAAATCAAAATTATGTATGTAAAAATCAAAACAGGTTTATTGGTCACAAAAAGACTGGAGGCACCCAAGGCTATGGATGTTGACCATCCATTCAGGACTGAAACAGAGCTCCCTCTCGTGGCCCAATTTTCAGCCATGCAGTAGGTGGGTATATGGAGAGACAATAACACTAGTAAGGTATGCTCACCATGGAATGGTCAATCATTCAAGATCAAAAGGGCTACATTCACCTAAAGACAAAACTGAGAAGGGATGAGAAGCAGAGTAGATGCAAATATGAACCATAAGGAGGAGATGGGATAACTTTTGTTGCATGGAGATTACAGTCAGAGATGTCACAAAGTATATGATCTGTTGAAAGTAAAACCGATGCTCTTGCTAAACTTTCATTCAAGTCACAATAACTTTAATTCAATTCACAATAATGACAAATGTAAAAATAAAAAACAACTAAGCGGTCAAAGCAATCCCTTAAAAGCTACGAGGGTGCACAATGTGCTATTTATAATTCATTTATATTTTATTAGGTACTGTAAATAATTTAGGAGTGATTTAAAGTTTATGGGAGAATAAGCATAGGTTATATGCAAATACTACACCATTATATACAAAGAACTTGAGTATCCATGAATTTTAGTACAGTGGGGATAGGCTAGGTGTCCTGGAACCAAACACTCATGGATAGTGAAGGACAACTATACATGCCACTAAGAAGATTTAAAGGAGCTCTGGAAGCGTAGTGGTTACAAATTGGGCTGCTAACCTCAAGGTCAGCAGTTCGAAACGACCAGCTGTTCCGTGGGAAAAAGATGTGGCTTTCTGCTCCCATAAAGATTTACAGCTTCAGAAACCTTGTATAGGGATCACTATGAGTCAGAACTGAATCCACAGTACTTAACAACAACAAGAACATTTAAACTGTGTTCATGAGGAATCTGTACACAGACCACGAGGCAGTGATTAAAACCGAGCAAGCTGATACTGAATGGTTTAAATCAGGAAAGCTGGGTGTCAGGGATGTATCCTTTCACCATACTTATCCAATCTGTATGCTCAGCAAATAGCATATAGGAGAAGCTAAATAATACGAGGTTGGAAAAAGACACATTTAACAACCTGTGAGGATGTGAGAAAACAAAAATTCTCACAACTACACCAATAAGAAATAGCATGATAAAGAAAACTCAAGCATTTGAATTTACTTGGATTTACGATCGACATCCATGGATAGCAGTCAAGAAATCAAAGGGAGATAATAAGAAAGCAGAGAAGGTAGAAGTGCAGTGATGAGCTCTGTCAGCAACAACACAGAATACAGGACCAACCAGGCTCAGGGGATGCTCCCAGACCTCTGAACCACATATAAAGGAATATTTAGATGCTTGGAAGGCTTACAGCTAGGGGAATTTGTAGCAGAGGCAAGAAATACAGTGCTTTCTAATCCAAGACGCTCTGCTGCTCCCGGAGCTACCATCTTGGGCGAGACTAAGTGGGGGAAGGATCAGAGCAGTCACAGATGCTACAGAACCACAGAGATAAATGTATGGACACTCTATTTATTTATTTATTTGTTTTCTATCTATTCATTGGTCTCTCGCTATCTGTGCACTTCCATTCAGGTGATTAGAGGGGGTGCTTGAGCGAGTGGACACCCCACCCTCACCCCAGGAGGGTTCTACTACGCATGAACACAGATCTCCTTGAAATTTAAAGTGACAGTTTCCACTTAAAACCAAATGGCAGTGCAAAACGGCCATAGCCAGCCCTGAACTGTTTATCTAGGAAAAAGGCCTAAATGGGGATTGTGGAGCGGGACAGGTAGACTACAAAGGAACAAGGCTGAAAATTAAATCCTGAGTTATGTCACAACAACCAACAGTGGCATCTTGAAATTTCTCAGGAAGAAGAATGAAAAGGGAAGTCTGTATCCTGATCACATCTACCTGGAGGCAACCAGGAAGCATAAAAAATACCAAAATACACATCAAGGAAAGTAGTCAGGTCCCCTCAGGGCAATCTACCTTCCAAGACTAAGACTCTATGGGAACACACAAGCAGACATGCACTCTGACCGGTGAACACATTGGTCACCGATAAGGGGAAGTAAGGGAAAAACAGCAATGAAGCAACAAGCTAAGTCCAACAACATTCAATAGACTCCTGTGAACCCAGATAGACTCCTGGTTGGCCAGCAGTGTGGCAAGACCTGGGAACACCTGGGCCCAGAGTCAATGACACAGCCACAGAGGACAAGAGTGGAGACTGAAGTGTCCAGCTGATAAGAAGTGAGGGCATATACACAAGAACACGCACACTTGCAGATAATACCCACTTGACCTGGCTTCAAACGGCTGGATGATCAGAACTCAACTAAAGAAAAGAGGAAAAAAACAGAAATCTGATACAATTTGATGAACTTGACCTACACCTATGGATTCAGTAGCTCAAAAGAGGGAATAAATCTTTACAGCGAAGATCATTGCCACCCCTCCCTCCATGCACAGAGTAGACAGGGATGGGCAACTTGGGCACTGGCTACCCAAAATATGGAGCTACAAAGGCAAGAAGTGACTGGCTTACAAGCTTTCAAGAGGAAACCTAGATCCAGAAGGCACGGAGGAAGTTAGAATTCTCCACTGACTAGTATCCAATCTGTCTGGACAGGGCTTATGAAAGGAGATGGAGATGGCACTCAAGCGCCATTCACAACAGTGAATAATTGCTATCAGGAGTGAGGGTTGGAAATGTAAAGGTGGACGTTTTGTAGTTTAAGGAGGGGAGTGGCTGACTTTCAGTCCCAGAGCCGAGGTCCCTGGGGCCATCAAGGGTGAAGATCGGAATATGGGATCCTACCCAGAGAAGCAGTGACACAAGAGATGGAGGCAGAGAAGATGACGTGGAGAGATGGAACAACTGGGTACTCTAGCCCCAGAGAGGAAGAGTGGCTGTGTGCTGATGACCAGGAGGCAGGCTTGCAGGATATACCCTTTGTTTGGTTGATGATGCATGGAGAAGACTGTAACCATAGCAATAAAACGATATACGATAGAATGAATGTAAAGCTAATGTTCTGCCATGTAAACTATCACATAATTTACAATAAAACATTAAAAAAAAACAAAAAAAAACCAGATAGATACAGCATTGAAAAACAATTCAAAACCTACAGAAAGAGGTCCAAACAATTACTAATAGAATATCAGAAATAGACAATATACTAAAAGGGCAACGTAAAAGTGATGATATGCCCTGTCAACTTTCATTCAATGGACAATAAAAACCTTAAAAAAGAAATCAAAGGGCACATTACATTGGGCAAAATTATTATGAAAACCTCTTTAAAAAGCAAAAATGTCACTATGACGACTAGGGACCACCTGGCCCAAGTCATGGCATTTTCAATTGCCTCAGATGCATGGGAAGGGCACAGTGGCTCTGTAGGACAAACGCATGCCTGTGAACTACATACAGGTCAGCAGTTCAAGTCCACCAGTCATTCTGCAGAAGAAAAATGAGGTTTTCTAATCACACAAATATTTAAAGCCTCTGAAGGCCTATACACGTTTGCTGTGACTCAGAATTGACTCAATAGCACTTAACTACAGCATATGCAAGTGAAAACTGAACAATAAATATGCAAGACCTGAGTAGGACTCATGTATCCGAATTATGGTGTTATACCAGAACAAAGCAGGAATTCTATTTTGAAAGTAGAACCAGAATGCCCACTAAAATTGAAGATGGCAAGACTTCACCTCACACTTTGGACATGTTATCAGCAAGGACTTGTTGTTGTTGTTGTTAAGTGCCGTCGAGTCGGTTCCGACCCATAGCGACCCTGTACAGGGTTTCCGAGGGTGTAAATCTTTACGGGAGTAGAAAGCCTCATCTTTCTTCCGCGGAGCAGCTGGTAGTTTCGAACCGCTGACCTTAAGGTTCGCAGCCCGATTCGTAACCACTACGCTACCAGAGCTCCTTATCAGCAAGGACTAGTCCATGGAAAAAGCATCATGCTTGGTCAAGTAGACAGTGAAAAAGAGGAAGCGCCTAAAGGAAATGAATTAACAAGTGGTTCCAACAATGGGTCCAAACATAGCAATGACTGTAGGATGACGAAGGACTGCTCAGTGTTTCATTCTGTGGTAATGGGGTTTCTATGAGTCATAACCACCTGAACAGTGGCTGATAACACATACATTCTACAACATGGAAGAACCCTCAAAACATTATGCTAAGTGAAAACAGACCTAAAAGGACAAATATCATATAACCCCACTTAACATAAAATGCATAGAATAGGCACTTGTTAATTATTTTGTGCTATAATTCAAAAAAGACTATTAGCTGTATGAAACATCAATGCTATCATGGAATAATGAGAACTGTATATACCTTGGTTTTATTTAATTCTTCTAAAATCTGATTGGTAGCTTTTAAAGAATTACTGAGTTCCTCTTTACTGGATTTCAGGAAGTCCATTTCCAACTTTTGTGAGCTGAGACACTCTTCTTTGGACGTCAATTTCTCTCGGAAAGTCTGGATTTCTATTTCATACTAGGGCAGAAAAATGTTACTTTAGGCAGGAGGTTCTTCTAAAATATATATATATAAAACAAAAGTACTAGTCCATGGACCATTTCAATTAGTCCTTGCAACCCTCCTGTTTTATGCCAAGTTAAAAATGTACTAAATATTAAAATCAGAACATAAAATATGTACAGATAACGGCAGAATTTCACACCCTTACCAAAAAAAAAAAAACAAAACACCCCAAATTCACTACTATTGAGTCTGATATTCATAGTGACCCATGTGTTGCAGAGCAGAACTGTGTTCCATAGGGTTTTATTGGCTGCAATCTTTATGGAAAGAGATTACTGTTGATGTTAAGTGTCATCAAGTCGGTAGCATCTCACAGCACAGGGTTTACAAGGAGCTGCTCATGAGTTCCAAGTGCCAACCTTGCAGTTCAAACTGACATTGTGGTCGAGCGCTTATCCTACAATGCCACCAGGACTCCCTGGAAGCAGACTGCTAGGCCTTTATTTCATGGTACCACTGAATGGGTTCAAAGTTCAACCTTTAGGTTACTGTTGTTGTTGTTAAGTGCTGTCGAGTCGGTTCTGACCATAGCAACCCTGTATATAGGGTTTCCAAGGAGTGGCTGGTGAGCCTGAACTGCTGACTGACTTTGCAGTCCAGTGCATTAACCCACAGTGCCACACCAAGACTCCTTTCTCTAAGTTACTAGTCAAGTACTAACCATTTATTCCTTTAGGTTACCAGTCAAACGCAAACCATTTTCACCACTCAAGGAAAGAATAATGAAATTAATATGACACGGCATTCTTAAGATCATGTAACATAGTAATACAGTATAATGATGCAGAATATGTGTGGCACTGTAGGATAAACACTGAACTTCTAACGCACCAGCTCCTCCTCAAATACCCTGTACAGGATCACTATGAGTCAAAACCAACTCCATAGCACTTAACAACAAACATGTCTGATTACTATGCACACACACCTGTCCTCCAGCCTCCACAGTAACCAAACCCCACGTTTTACCTGTCTGTTTGTATCCAGAAGCAAAGTCTGGTGTTTCTTTTCAGCTTCCTGAAACCTCAGCTGATACTCGGCTATTTCGTCTCTCATTTTCCCCTCCTTTTCAGTCTGTTCTTTGTGTACACAGTCCAAATTCTTCTTCAATTCACTATTTTCTAGCAGGAGCTCCTTCAATTGGACCTAAATAAAAAACAAACAAACAAACAAAAACAGAATAACCGTTCCTACATAGAAGGTAATGCAATCACTGAGATGAAAAAATGTATGGTTTGTTGAATGTAAAGCTGATGATGATCTTGTCTATAAACCTTCACTCAATTCACAATAAAATTTTTCAAAAAAATTAAGACTTCACCTCCAGTGATTCCACTATTCTAGCTCAACACCGAAAAACCAACTTACATGCACAGAGACCATATTCTTGTTGCTGCTGTTTGCCATCGAGTTGATACCAACTCAAAAAGACCATGTGTACAACAGAATAAAACACTGTCCGATCCTGCCCCACCCTCACAATAGCTACATTTAAGCCCACTGCTGCTGTCATTGTGTCATTTGGTCCTTGGGGGCCTTCCGCTTTTTTTGCTGACCCTCCATTTTGCGAAGCATGATGTCCTTTCTCCAGGGACTGGTCCCTCCTAATAGCATGCCCAAAGAATAAGAGACAAAATCTCACCATCCTGCTTTCTAAAGAGCATTCTGGCTATATATCTTTCAATACATATTTGTTTGTTCTTCTGGCAGTCCACAGTACTTTCAATATTCTTCTACAACACCACAATGTATATGTACCGATTCTTCTATGGCCTGCCCCCCACCCCCAACCATTCACTGTTCTACTTTCCCATGTATATGAAGCAACTGAAAATACCATGGTTTGGGTCAGACGCACCTTAGTCCTCAAACTGAACTCTTTACTCTTGAACACTTTAAAGAGGTCTCAAACAGATTTGTCCAATGCAATACACGTTGTTTGATTTCCTGACTGTTGCTTCCATGAGTGTTGGTTAATATATCCAAGCAAAATGAAGTCTCAACAACTTCAATCTTTTCTCCATTTATGTTTCTTATTGGTCCAGTTTGGGAATTTTTGTTTTCTTTACATTGAGGTACAATCCATACTATAAGGCTGTGGTCTTTGATCTTCATCAGTGTTTTAAGTCCTCTTCGCTTTCAGTAAACAAGGTTGTATCCTCCCTCCATTTATCGCAGGTTGCTAATGAGTCTTCCTCCAATCTTGATGCCACGTTTTTCTTCATATGAAGAACAGGAACCACAGAACCACTGAAATCTTCATTTCAGCTCAATCACTCTGGGACCACACCCATACCAGGCTCCCTTACTCAATCTTCCCCGTTGCAATAATTCCTTGATCTCTTCACCAGAACTACCTTTACATCCAATTTCCTCCAGAATTGTTATTCATTTTCTCTTGCCCAGTTTAGAGTGCATGTTCTACCACTAAGAGTGTTCTTCCAAAATGACTGCAGTTCTTCTGCCCCTCTTTCCCTTCATTGTACAGGATTGACAAAAGCTGTCTTTTCTGTGCCTGACTGCAAAATGTAGTTTCTGGGGAAAACTTAGATAAACTAGAAAACAATACGACACAACAACATTACTATAATTCTTTTTCCTTTCCTTCTCTTCAAAAAGACCATTGCATGGTTATCTGTTTTTGTCAAGTTTTATCAAGTTTCATTCACTAATAAGAGAACCATTGTCTTGGAGCTCACTCATGTCCCCACCACCTTCATGAAACTTTAGTTTCTCCCTAAGCAACAAAGGCTAATCCCTACCTGAAGCATATAAAACGAAGGGGGAAAGGACTCAGCGCATAGGGACACTGAGCTTCTGTTAAGGGCAACAGAAAATGAGAACAAATCAACATGATGAGCATAAATTAAGTAATTGAATTCATATGTGAAAGTTTTACTGAAGTGGCAAATATTTTGTTAAATATATATTTACTACAATGTTGTTTTTAAGTTGGCAGTTTCACCTCATAGCAATCCTATTTCATAGCGTTTCCAAGGAGTGGCTGGTGAGTCTGAACCTCCGACCCTGCAGCTTAAACCAACCTTGAGGCCAAGTGCTTATCCTAGAGGGCCACATCAGGACTCCATTTACTACAACAGATTATGTAAAATAAAACTCAATAAAAGAGAGAGAATTAAAGAGGCCAGTCCCTACTTTTGTGCTGAGTCCTGATCCCCTCTTTCATTCTTCTCAAGGCTTGGATCTTCTAGTTACTTGGCCTTTCTCTCTTTCCCCTTAGTGTTCCCTTCTCTACTCCTCTACTGGATTATTCCTGGAAACACAGAAATGTGTCATAGTCTAAAAACTCCTCTCCTGATCCACACCTACTCAGGAACTGACCCACTTCCAGGTCAACCTTCAAAGCCACATTTATCAAAACAGCTGTCTATATACATACTATGTCCACTTCCTCTCCCATGCACTCTCCAGCCCAGTCCAATCTGGCTTCATCAGACACTTCATTTTCTAAACTACCATTTCCTGGCATCAGGGACCTCCATGTTGTCCAGCCCAAAGGGCCCACTTCAGTCCTTATTTCACATGACCTCTAAGAAAATACAAATGGCTGCTGACCATCTTCTTCTTTATTGAGAAAGCCTCAACTCGAGACTTCTAGAACATGATTTGCCTCATCAAGTCTTCTGTTTTCTGTACTGATCCCTCCTATTCCATCTCATCTTAAAGGCTGGAGTACCTCTAAAGTCACCTTCTCACCTCCATTTGTATCTTCTATCATTATCATAATTTTAAAATAAATTTTTAAAAATTAAATCTATGTATGCTAAAGTAGCCACAGTAACATTTCCTTTCTAAATTGTAGCTCTAAACGCCAGACTCATGGATTATATATAACTTTACGTTAATTTTATTCCAATTTCTACCGCTCCAATCTTGGTTGATGTCATTTTCCCTCTGGCTTCAGCCACAATAGCTTCCATTCAGTTTCTAAAAATTATAAAGCTCTTTTTAACAGCAGAGCTTTAGTCACATGTCTCACTAGACAAAATGCTCCTTCCTCCACAAAGTTTAATATGGCTGGTTCATCCTACAGAGGACATTCTCTGACCAGCCAATCTAAGTCAGATTACTCAATACACCCACACACCCATTCCCCAATTCATCCACAAAGAATACTATTTCTTTCCTTTATAGCATTTACTGGTTTGAGTATTTAGATGTTAACTTATTTCTTTAATATGTGCAAGAAGCATAGCTGTTTTATTCAGTGTTCTATCCTTGAGCTGCAAGGAGCTCTGGTAGCGCACTGATTGAGAATTGGGCTGCGAATCACAAGGTCAGCAATTTGAAACTACCAGCTGCTCCGCAGGAGAAAGATGAGGCTTTCTGCTCCCGTAAAGATTTACAGTCTCGGAAACCCTGTTCAGGGTCGCTATGGGTCGGAACTGACTCGACGGCACTTAACAACAACATCCTTGAGCTGTGGTGGTAGTCATGTGTCATCGAGTCAGTTTCGACTTAGCGACCCTGTATAAGGTTTCCCAAGGCTATGAATCTGTACAGGAGCAAAAAGTCTCATCGTTTTCCTGTGGAGCAGCTGGTAGATTCAAACTGCTGAGCTTTCAGTTAGCAGCCCAATGTGTAACCCAATATGTTACCAGCGCTGGTGAGTTTGAATCACTGACCTGAAAGTTAACAGTCCAGTGCTTATCCAACAATGCCACACTTATTATTCATGGTCTGAATAAACAAATGAATAAAGTCATTTAAAACCAATGTACTCACATGTTCGAGACTTAAGTTGAACAACAAGCTTTTTCTCTTAGTAGTGTCCAAGAGGGAGCCCTGGTGGCACAATGGTTGAGCGCTGAGCTGCTACCAGCAACTCTACAGTAAAATGAAGAGCTTTCCATAAAGATGCCAGCCTAGGAAGCCCTCTGGGCAGCTGTATGCTGTCCTAGAGCATAGGTCACTATGAGTTCCAGTCACATGAAGGCAATAAGTGTGGTTTTAAGTTTAGCACCTAAGAGCCCTGGTAGCTCAATGGTTAAGCACTGGGCTACTAACTGAACGGCTGATGGCTGGAACTTACCCACTGGCCTCAAAGGAGAAACACCTGGTAATGCGCGATGAAATGAACGGCCATTGAATCAGTTCTAACTCACAGTGAACCTCTGTTATTTAGTGCCATCGTGTCAGTTTCAAGTCCTAGTGATCCTGTGTAGGGTTTCCAGGGAGGGGCTAGTGGATTTGAACTGCCAACCTTGCTGTTCAAACAATCCTTACAGTCCACAGCTTATCCAAACAACACCATACCAGGGCTCCCACATTGACCCTATAGCAGAGTAAAATTGCTCCCGAGGGTCTCCAGGACAGAAATCTTTACGAAAACAGACAGCCTCATCTTTCTCCCTCGGAGCATCGACTTGCAGTTAGTAAGCTATTGCTTAACCCATTGTACCAGCAGGACTCCGAGTGGTAAAGATCACAGCCTAGGAAGCCCCCCATTGGGCAGCTCTACTCTATCACACGGGGTCTCTATATGAGTGAAAGTCAACTTATAGCAACTAACAACAACAGAGCCTAAGAAAGCAGTACATATAACAATATACTGGGGATACTTTCAAGCTCTCAGTATCAAAAGATATTCAGCATGATTCCAATACTGACTGTAGAAACCCTTCTAACATTGCATTGTCAACAAATTCAGTATATCAATCACCAAGATGAAATGCCAAACTGGTCTATTTTAACTAGATTAAATACTCTATTTAAAGACAAATCCATATTTCCCCAACTCCTTATGTAAGGAATTATAAACATTTCAACTTTTTAAGCTAACTCAAGGTCATCATGACTTTTATTTGCTTTGCTGAATGTATGAAGACTTCATGAATATAGTAATGTTTGTTAACCAGGTTTAGCAAACAGGTTTCATTTCTGACAGTTTGCCTTAGTGGCAGCAACTATTTTGGGCAAAGTGTGACAAGATTCAAGAGAAAAATCTAAATATCAAACCCAGTGTCATCGAGTCGATAGAAACTCTAGTATGATTTATGTGACTGTAAATCTGTACTGAAGCAGCCAGCCTCATCTTTCTCCCTCAAAGCAGACGGTGGGTTTGAACAACCAACCTTGCTATTAGCAGTCTACTGCTTAATCTACTATGCCAACAGGACTTCTTATTCAAAAGAAAACGAGATCATAAATTAGCAATTAGCAATGTAAGCAATGGGAACAGAGTTCCTGAGGTGGTACAAACAGTTAACACATTCGATTGAAAGGTTAGAGACTCGAGTCGTATGAGACGCTCCTTAGAAGAATGTAATTTCAAAAACTCATCCACTGCAAATCCTACAGAGCTGAGTTCTACTCTGACACAAATGGGGTGACATGAGTCAGAATTGTGTCCACAGCAATTTGTTTGCTATGGGAACAGTCATAAGGAGCAGCAGTCTGAGAGCTATAGATTTTGCTCCTTAACCCTACACTAAAATAGTACCCGCACACTGTTCTAACTTTACATTTTACTGTGACTTCCCTTCTGTTATTTTTTTTCAGTTCTTAGCAACTGTCAGTGCATCTGTCTCTAGCAAATTCTGGCTTATCATCTGAAGCAGGCCAGGAAAGCAGAGGTTTAAAATCGACTTCTGATGTAAGTACTACTACGGTCACCCTTTCTGGGCTTCATGGATGCTGTTTTCATGTATTTAGAGCCCTCTGTTGACTGTTCTTCTAGGTTCACAGCAGTGCAGGATGATTCTGATTACAGCAAATACAATTTTGACATCAACTCTGGGTTATTTTATTCAAAAGGTAAAACAGGTTGGTGCAGTGCTGATGTCTTACAAAATAAAAACAAGGAGAATGTACACACTAAGCAATGAGAGTACACCACACCTATTAGAAAGAAACTTACTTTGCTGCTCTCTGTTTCTTCCAACATTAATTTTAACTCTTCGGTGAGCCTATTTTTTTCGCCATCAAATTCTTGTTTCGATTCTGCTGTTTTCTGCACCATCTCATGCATTTCCCTCTGCAGCTCCATTTCCTTCACAGTCATTGTGTTTACCTGAAATTTGATCTTTCATTAGGATCTGCTTATGGGTGTCTGTTTGAATCAAGTCAATACCCCTGATACAACACACTCATGACATTTACTTTCATCTTGAATAATAAATTTGAACCTGGTTAATCTTCACTTGACTAAGCTATTTAATGTTCTCAAAACCTACTGGTAAGATTACCTTTTCTCGTAAGACTTAATAAGAGACAGCAATAAAGGAATGACAAAGGGAGATAACATTACTAAGTCTTGAAATCCTGCAAGAAGGTATTATTTTAAATTAAACTTAAACGTCAGAAAATATTATATGAGGCAGCTTCTGAGATTTCTTATCTATTCTTGGGTCTCTAATAATCCCTAATACCATACTAATCTGCAAGAAACATGCCTATCATTAGTTAAACCTGTTAAAGCTCTATTGTTTGCATTTGTCCCTTAAAGTTGAAACAGCCTGGAATGGTTGTCTAGTTATCTCTACAATAACCGCCATCTCTTGCAAACTGCATAAAACCCAGAAATTTTTAGAAAACACGAATTGGTTTTATGTTTCTGAATACTCCCTTTACCTTTTAATTTGCTCAAGGAAAAAATTAAATTTGAAGGACTTCACTTTCCTAGATCAATAAGAAAGCATAAGGAGCAAAACTAAAGTTTTCTTTCAAAACTGACCCTTCTCAATCACAGATCTTCCTTTTTACCATCAGCTGACATATTGGCTGTCCAAACGCGCTAGTCGCTCCTCGCAAACCCTGTACAGCATTGCTATGAATTGGAATATAAGAGGAGACTGCACAGAGAAAGTACTAAAGAGGGATCTGACAGAGTAAATGTTGGTTGTAATTTAATCAGTATCTTTAAGAGTTCCTTCTCCTTTCTCATAAAAAAGAAAAAGATGAGTGGAGAGGGTCTCTGCACTCTCTGACCCTGTGTTTTCTATGTAGCAGGCCAGGAGGCACAAGCAGTTCACAGCCACCCAGCAGTAATTCAGAAGAGAACTGTTTCTATAATGATTACAGCCAAGAAAACCCTTTGGAGCAGTTTTACCCTGTAAGGCATGAGGCTACTAAGAGTCAGGGACTGACATCAACATGTTCTCTTAGAGCAGTGGGTCTTAACTGGGAATGGGGATGCTACATACTCATCTATTGTTAAGGAAAGAATTAGGATCAACAATTGTACATTACCCAAAGCAACACCTATATACAGGTATTCCATGGAAAGCCTGGGTCGATCCATGGAAATGTTCCATGTGAACATATCAGAAGGGCTACTGCTGCTGAAGCAGTTTTAAGGCTATACAAAGTAGGTCCAACATAGCAAACTCTGTCTAGAAGAAAAAACTAGTCTAAATGACCCCAACAGAATGATGTAGAACAAAACTTCAAAATCCTTCAAAATAAATAAATAATCTACTGAACTGGTTGAAACAAGGTCACCTTATAACTAAATCACAAAACGGCTCAAATATGATCACCAATAAATACTCTTCTTTCAAATTTGTTTTAAATTTTGTAACAAATGTTAAGTAAATTAAACCACTTACCTTTTCAATTAAGGACATCTTTTCCATTTTTGTCAACTCCAGCTCCTTCTGGAGATCCTTGTAAGAATTCTGCAGCCCTTCAAAAGAGTCCTGTAGAGTTCCATTGTCGGACTGCAGCTCTTGGATCTTCTGCTCCAATTCCACTGTCAGATTTCCCAGTTCTGCTTTTTGCTTCTCCCAAAGTTGCTGCTCTCCTTCCACTTGGGACAATCTAGAGGAAAGCTGTTCTTGGTTTTGAATCTGATTTGTTAGTTTACTGATTTCTTCATTCTGCTTCTCCAGTGTCCGTTTGCCATCTTCTACTTCTTGAACGAGGCCATCCACAGAAGACTGCAAACTAATGTACCTAGTTTTGGCCTCTTCAAGGCCTTGTAACAATTGAGTTTTCTCATGTTGAAGGGAATCTACTTGGCTGTTCAGATTCTGTTCTTTGGCCTTACATGTCTCTTGGTCAATATGCATAGATGCTACTTTCTCATTTAGCTCTTTTAATTGTGTCTGAAGCGACTCCAATGCAATTTTAGATTCTTCTTTGACCTGTACTTTTTCTTGTTCTTTTTCTTGCAGTTGATTTTCAAATGAAGAATTCAGTATTTCTAATTGAGATATACGATCTTGCTTGATTTGTAACTCTCTTGAAAGATTTTCTTTTTCTGACCTTATACTGTTAAGACCTAATTCCAAATCTCTCAGGGTTTGGTCCAGTCCTTCCATTTTTTTTTTGAGAGTCTCTACTTCAGCTTTGGAATTCTCAGCATCAAGAATGACAAGCTCTTG